GTGCGCATGGTCGAGCACCTCAAGAACGCCGCCGAAGGCCCACTCGAAGAGGAGCGCTTCAACGCCGCTTTTGCCTCGCTCGACGCGGCCACGCTTAACGTCTACCTCCAGCTCTTCTTCCACCACTGCTACTCGTACCTGCCCGCCATCCACCAGGTCACCTTCCATCCCGACCGCTGCGATCCCCGTCTGCTCGCTGCACTCTGTGCAGTCGGAGCCTTCTTCTCCGAGATCCCGGGCAGTCGCAATGCTGCCATCTACCTCGCCAGTCTCGACCAGATCAGCGTCAGTCGTGCCACGCTCTCCAACAACGCACTCGCACGCGTCACCTCGACCTTTCAGTCGATTCTGCTCGTCTACATGATCTGGCGCAGTGTCGGCGTACCCTCTCGGCAGGAGTATGCCGAGGCTTTCAGGTCAACCTACTGCACCATGATCCGGCGCGCTAGGCTGCTCGAGAATATCGCTCCGCCCAAGTTGCCGGCACGCGCAACCATCGACGAGCGATGGACTGCCTGGATTGCTTGGGAATCGGGCCGTCGTACCGCGTGGTCCACGCTCGTGTCCGAGACTGAGCTCTCGGTCCACTGGAACTTGCCCGAAGCTTTCGCGCCCAACGAGATCACGGGCAAATTGCCGTGTGACGATCGGCTCTGGGAAGCACCTACGGCGATCGAGTGGATGCAGACCGCAAAGATGCTCGCGCCTCCGCTGAGGGGACTGCAGCCGGGCGCAGGCGATGGCATGCCCTCGATTGTGGCCGACGAAGCAGACGAGCATTTTGTCTGGCCCGATAGCTCGAGCCAGCTCGACGTGGCCACCGCGTGCGACATCATTCAGCGCTATGCACAAGCGTCTCCCAACGATGCCGTCGCGTCGGTCACCGAGGAAGAAAAGGAGGCACTTGCGCGACTTTCTCCGTTCAGCAGGCTGTGTGTTGGCTCGGCTGTCATGCTGTCCACGCATCACACGATGAAGATGGTTCGATTCTGTCCGATGCTGCTCGGCGACGAGGAGCAGGCGCGCGAGAGGATGCGCAACTACCTCGGCTCGGCCACCGACCTGCTCAGCACCAACCAGGTGCGCGATGCGCGCGTCGACCTGCTGCTGCACGCCATCCAGCTCTTCGAACTCATCTCGCCCGAGATGCTCCAGCTGCTCTCGTGTCGCCGCGGCGTGCCTCGCATGCAGGCTGCGCGCAACGAGCTCAACGCCCAACTCAACCAGGCCAAACCGTGGAAGACCAGATGCATCGTCTTTCATGCTGGGCAGATGCTGCGCCTAGCAAAGCAGAGTCTGCAGCGAGCTCCCGTCGAGTGTCTCCACATCTTCTACGCTGCCATCGCCCTGCAAGCTGTGTCGCTGTTGGTGCTTCAGAACTCGGCAGGTGCACCGTCGGGGACGATCTATCGCATCGCCTTCAACGGGCCTGCTCGGTCGGCGGTTTCACAGGGAACGGCCGATGCGGGATCGACGCGGGTGTGGCGCTCTGGATCCTCAGCCTCGATCGCCTCATCCACATCGCCCTCGAGCGCAGGCGCTTACAGCTCGGCAGCCACCAGCATCAACAGCATGGATGCGGCAGATGCGCGCTCAGCACCTACGACATTCATGCTCGAATCGGTCGGCAACCTCGCACACCCGCTAGCACCCGAACGCATCTTGTCGCTCGCGTCAAAGTGGCTCCGCGCCGATGATGGCGTGGGTGTCTGGCCAATCGGTCAATCACTCGCCAAGATCCTCGACTCACTAGCTGCACTGACGCCTCGACGCACGGATGCCACTTGAATGTCGATACGCGTCTCGTCGTTTCCATCGATTCTGTGCCAGGCTGTGTGAGGACGGCTCTGCAAGCGTCAAAACGACGTCCTCATCTTGAGTCCGCCCCGCTGTCGCGATCCCCTGCGTTTGCCAGGACAACGATGTTCACCTCACCGCTCGGCGGCGTCAGGTCCGCCGCTGGGGATCCGGCCAGCAGCGAACTTGACGAAGCAAAGCGAAGATCGGAAAATCCGAGAGCGCGGATTCCACACTCGAAACCTAACATTCTAAAATTTGTACCACGCCCAGCAGCACGTGCGACCCCCACCATATCGACCCTCATCCACCGTCAAACCGACCATGGACTTTTGGACATTCCATAAGATTCATAAAGAAGCGAGAGAGCCTACAGCAGGAGAACTAGCGAGGGAAGAGCAGGAAGTGAAAGAGATAATTACTTGGGGAGCCAGATGGCCTGGACCTGGCAGTAGGCGGCAAGACCAGCGGTACCATGCTCGGCACCGATACCGGAGCTCTTCATACCACCGAAAGGAACGGCAGGATGATGACTCACCATTCTCGAGATCCATACGGTACCGCTCTCGATCTGGCGAGCGATGCGCTCGGCGGCAGCGTTGTCAGAACCCCAAACGGTGGCACCAAGACCCCACTGGGAGTCGTTGACACGCTTGATGAGATCGGCCTCGTCCTTCCACTTGAGCAGGGGCACGATGGGGCCGAAGGGCTCCTCCTGGACGAGCTTGCTGTCCTCAGGAGGGTTGTCGACGATGCTGAGCGGGTAGAAGTAGCCTTCCTTCTTCTCGACCTCGCCTCCCGAGATGAAGTTGAACTTCTTGTTCTTGGACTCCTCGAAGAACTCGGCGACCTTGTTATACTGCATCTTGTTGTTGATGGGACCAAACATGACGCCCTCCTCGTTACCGGGGCCCACCTTGAAGTTCTGAACGACCTGGGCGAGTGTCGCCTTGAACTCGTCGTAGATGTCCTCGTGGACGTAGATGCGCTTGGCGGCGATGCAGACCTGGCCCGAGTTGAAGAAGGCACTGAGGAGCACGTTCTGTGCGGCGGTGGCCATGTCCGACTGCTGCGGGAGCACGATGCACGGGTCGTTGCCACCGAGCTCGAGGGTGAAGCGCTTGAGCGTGGCAGAGCAGCTCTTGGCGACGAGGCGGCCAGTGACGGTGCTACCGGTGAACGAGATCTTCTGGATGCGAGGGTGCTCGGTGATCCAAGGGCCGAGGTTGTCGTCACCAACGACGATCTGGACGACACCGGGAGGGAAGATCTTCTGCGCAGCCTCGATGATGCGGATGTCGCAGAGAGGGGTGAAGGGCGAGGGCTTGATGATGATGCAGTTACCGGTGATAAGGGCCTGGGTCACCTTCCAGAGCATGAGCAGGATGGGGAAGTTCCAGGGCACGATACCGGCGCAAACACCGAGAGGGAGGTAACGCTCGATGGCGCGGTGGGTCTCATCCTCGTGCTTGACCTTCTCGTCAAGGCGGATCTTGGCGAGCTCGGTGAACCAGGGGAGGATGCTCTCGCACTCGTGCTGGGAGAACATGATCGACTTGCCCTGCTCGGCGGTGAGCAGCTTGACGAGCTCGGGCGTCATGGCCTTGAACTCTTCGCCGTACTGCTCGAGCAGCTTGGCACGCTCGTCCCACGAGGTCTTGGACCACGAAGGGAAAGCGGCCTGGGCGGCATCGACGGCCTGGTCGACGGTCTCCTTGGTGGCGATGGGCACCTGTGCGATCACCTTTTCGGTGGCGGGGTCGATGACGTCGAGCATCTTTGCGCCCTTGGCATCAACGGACTTGCCGTTGATGACGTGCGAGAAAGGCGCATCGAGGAGCTTGGAGGCGACACCGACAGTCATTGTGAAAGGATTAATTGGATGGTGTGTTGGTGTATGGGTGGGGATAACAAGAGCTGCTGCGCGGGGAATAGGAAGGGCCCTTTATAGAAGTTTGGGGATGATCTTGCAAGGCGGCCGAGGTCAGCTGTCCGTGCGCTCGTGCGCTCGGCGTGCCAGTTGCCGAGCAAGGCGATCAGAGCCCGTCGCCAAGTGGCGGACTGGAAGCGCGAAAAGTGACAGCCAACCAAAAGCAGGCACCAGGTCGCACAAGCTCGGTGGGCGGCTTCGACGTATGACCGCGCGCGGCCTTTTTGGTGACCGCGGCGGGGGTGGAGGCGCACAGAGCCTCGGCCTCAGCCCTGTCACGCCGCGTAGACGGTTAAATTCATCCTTCGCGGGGGTCGCCACCCGCGGCCATCCGCACAATTTGCGGAGACAAGCCGCGATCCTTGAAGTTGCCCAGGCGGCCACCACTGCAATTGCCGCCTCATTGTCCACGCCTCAGTCTCACGCTCTATCCTCCGAGAATGACACCGAAGCCAAGTAGAAATGGTACAATGTGGAATGTGTTTCCCGTGGGACTGACCACGGCCAGGAGGGCAGTAGAACCTCCCCCATTGTTCCACAGAGGGATCATCCTCGGAAGTCAAGGAAGAAGAAGCGTCGATGTGGAGACGGGGCAAAGCAGCCGCAACAAAGAAGCTGCGAGGCAGTCAGGCAGGCAGGCACACAGGCACTTGGGCGCGCACGGGGTATCCCGCGAGTGTAAAAACGCAGCTTCGCACCTCGGCTACGGTGACACACTGCCCGAACATATTGCAGCACCAGCACACGATGGCCCGCTAACAAGTGTCACTCGTTGCAGCCTTGGCTTGGCTGGTTTGTCCACGCCACCTCGTCTTTCTGCACGGGCTGCAGTGTGACATGCTCACCCTCCGTTGAACTGTGTGCTTCCATACATTTCCACTGCACTCGCACTCGCACATGTGAGAATGTGATGTGATTTCAACAAGCGACAGAAGCATGCAGAACAGCTGCCAAGACGTGAGGTTTAGACGCAGACGACGGGCTCAAGCGCTCACGTATCGCATCCAAGCCCAGTGCGAGAGCTTGAAAGCGCCGTAGCTGATGCCGCCCAGTGTGCACGTGAGTGCGCTTCCCCAGAATAGGAAGAGCCCCTGCAGGAAGAAGACGCGCAGGATCGGCGCCGAAACCGTGGGTCGCGAACGCTTGACCAGCCGCTTGGTCTTGGCTAGGTGCACTGCCAGCGCCTTTCGTACTGCCAGCTGGCGCTGGTTCGTCGAGCTGCTCGACAGAGCAGATCGTGCCGCGCTCGACGAGACAGACACTCCCGACAATCCCAGCGATGTGCTGCGAGTGGCAGCCAAGTACGTCGAACTGGCGTTTTGGAACAGCTCCAGCGGCCAACGAAGCCCACTTGTTTCGCCGAACACCTTGCCAGCCTGCTGCTGAAGATGGTGGTGAAGCACCGAGCTCTTGGGTAGCGGCTTGGGCGCATAGCTTGAGAAGAGATTCTCCGGCGCAATGTGATTGATCGACAAGGTCGCCGGGCCCACCTCGCGCAAAACGTGCTGAACCTCTGCTGAATCGTGCGAGTACACCGACATGTGGCCTCGATCCAGTCCGAGCTCCTCGATGAGTCCAAATGCATGCTCCGTGCTGCTCACTCCGATCAGCACCAGCGCAGCCAGATCCTTGATCTGTGCAACCACCTTGCGATCGCTGATCACCGCGCTCAGCTTGGCGGCCCGCGCTGCCTCCACGTCCACCTCGATGAGCGCAACGGGACCGGGCCTCTTCTCGGATGCAAACGGCTTCTGCAATCGGGCCGAACCTCCGCAGTTCGCCACCTTGCTACCGATCGTCTGTTCGATTTGCAGGACCTCCTCGAGCTTGGAGCCATCGTCGCGCGGCGCCAGGTTAGCCGACGAGGTGGCGATCGCCAGGAGCAGGGCCTCGCGGAAGACGCCGTAGGTCTCCTCATGTACAAAGAGGTACTTCGGAGCACCCACACCCCGTCCGAGTAGCATCGAAGCGCCTTCCACCACCTCGGTCGCCACATCCCGCAGCCTCTCTGCCACAACCTTGGAAGCATTGCCACCGAGGCCCAAGGGAAGCGAGCTCGGAGGTGCAGTTGCGAGCGAAGCAGAGACGTACGCAGATCCAGGTACGCTGATACGCGTAGCCACATGCGAAGAGCCAGGCACCTCAACTCCAAACACACCACTTGCGGCTTCCCGTAGATCCGCCACGCCGTGCTGTGCAGCAGGCATGTCAGCAGGGCTGATGACAAAGACGGCCGACTTGGGCAGCTGAGGAGTGAGCTGCTCGACAATCACCTTGTTCAGCGACGGCATGGTGGGAGTGAGCACCGCGCACACCACGTTACCCGCCGCTACGGCTGAGACCAGCGGGGCGAACAGGTCGTCAAACGGTCGTTTGGGCTGGGCCACCACAAGCGCTGCGCCGACAGGCCTCGTGACGGTCACATGGGCGTCTTTACCACCAGCATTGCCGGCGATGGTCAGCTTAGAGAAGAAGCGGTCCGGGAGAGCTCCTCCAGGCACCACGGGCTTGCACTGGCTCTGCAGGGCTGCAGCGATCTGCGAGAGCGTGAAGGCGTACTCGAGCTCAAGCTCCACGCGAGCGGCCTTGCCGTTGAAGTCCTGCGAAGCTGCCTCGAGCAGCTGGCTGCGCGCCGTCTCGAAGAAGCTGAAGATGGTTTCCAGCACCTTGAAGCGATATGCCTGGTTGTGAGAGACGCGCTTCTCGACGAGCGCCTCGTGGATGTGCTCCAACACATCCTCAAACTCGTACATCTGTGCAGGCAGTTGACCGGGCGTCTTGACCTCGCCCTCGAACAGATCGTCCTTGTTGCCGCCACGAAGCAGCTGTGTACTCATCTTGTCTTGAAAAACTTGCCTCCGGTGGATCGGATGATGAGCTTTGGTAGGTTGTTGTAGAGAAGAAAGGTGCAAAGCTGGTCGACAGACCAATGGCCTCTTGATTGATCGTGCTTTGACTACTGTAGCTCACGGTTTTGCGAAAATGAGCCCTACCGGTCCTCCGCCATGCGCGGGACGAGGTGGGGCCACGATGTGTCGGGCCCGGAGAACAAGGTCGCTCGGCTTCGTGTGGGGGTGGCGGCCATATCAGAGCTAGCCCCGCGGACAGGATTTTCCGAGGCGATTTCAGGGTCCATGGAGGAACCGAAAGGCTGAACCGAGATGCTGAGCGGTGGAGCTCCACCACAGCCGAACCTCCACCCGACCGAATCGATGCTCCCGCGATCCACCGCCAGACCCAAGTCACACACGACGGACGGTGAGCACGCAACAGACTGGATGCGAGACCCCATCAATACCTACATCGTCCCTGAACTTCCCTCTCAGCCACTCACGTCCACCTACATCCCGATCGAATATCAACTGCAGGAGTCATATCAGTCATGCCGACAGCGATCAGGTCAACAAGCAACACCACGCCCGTGTTCTTCTTCAGCCATGGCAGCACGATGATGCTCGGCGAGCAGAGTACGCCGGCTCAGTACTGGGAAGAGATGGGTCGCGAGGCCATGCGACGGGGAATCAAGCGCGTCATCATGATGGGTGCCCACTGGGAATCGCCTACCGACGAAATCCTCGTTGCGGCGAACCCGACCAATCCCAAAAAGCAGCCCGTGGCGTGGGTCGAGCCCTCGCGCTACGTCGACTACAAGATCAACTCCTCTCCGCGTCTTGCCAACGAAGTCGTGGCCCGTCTGCAGCAGAACGGCATCAAGGCCAAGACCGACCCGGAACTGGAGTGGATCCACGACACGTTCATCATCCTCTGCTGGATGTTCCCTGCGACCACCGAGCATCCTCAAGGCCAGTGTCCTGAGGTGACGGTGGTGTCGGGTCTGTCTGTCTACAATGCTCCTCTTCTGGTAGACGTTGGCAAAGCTCTCCGAGACTTCCGCAACGAAGACACGCTCATCATTGGAACGGGAGGCACCGTGCACAACCTCTACCGTAACAACTGGAAGCAGATCACCATCTTCCGCGACAACTTTGCACAGCCGCTCCCACCCGCCAAGTGGGCACTCGACTTCAGGACCGAGGTCGAGGATGCGGTGGTCAACAATTCTGGACCCGCGCTCATCAATGCGGTACTCAGGCTCATGCGACACCCGCTCTACAGAGATGCGCATGCCACCGACGATCACTATGCTCCGCTGCTGTTCGTCGCAGGTGCGGCTGGCTCGCTCAAAGACAAGGGCAAGAAGAACAAGATCACCGCAGAGTGCTGGGAACTCCAGAACATGTGCAATTCGCGTAAGTTCCTCTCGCCTTGTTTGTGCGTTTTGAGCGATGTCGGATCAGCTGATGCGCGCTTCTGCTTGACTGTCCTCGATGCTTCTTCAGAATTCCAATTTGGCAGCTGGTAGCCGCTCACATCTTTCTCTGTACATTTCTCTTTTGGCTTGCCGATTGTATCAGCCATCTCCCCATGCATGTGCAGGGGTGTACCTTGCCTGTGAATAATGAGCATCGCGTGTTCGTCATCTCGTATTCATGCTTGCGCACGTAGCGTATGGTGACGAGCAATTGGGACATTTCAAAGAGCATACAAAGCGAGAGCTGGGCGACTATAGCAAAATGCGGCTATAGCTCGTGGGGGCACTGGTAGCGGAAGAAGCGGTTCACGCTTTCGACCTTGCCCACGGTGTTCCTGAAGATGGTATTGGCAAGACCGATGGTCTGCACGCCGAGGCCGATCATTGTAACGGTGAAGATGGTCTCGGGTACCGTGTTTGCCCAGGGCCTCCTGGAGTGATCCAGATTGCGGTCGATCGGCCGATATGCGGGTGTACCTCGCTGTTCAGGCCAGCTGGCTGTAGCTCACACACAGAAGCCATCTCCGGCACGTCAGTACTTTGCTTTCCGAGTCATCATGCGGGTAGCTGTATAAACCTACCTGGATTGGTCCACTGAGCGCTCGTATCGCCTCCTCGTACGCCGTGTGCTGGCTCAGGAGCAGTCCATAGGCCAGCAGCTGGAGCTCGAGCGGTTGAAGAACCGGAAAAACTTCCAGTGCCAGCGCCTCCCGACGTGTGCGCAGCATGGTGATCAATCAGACGCGCATGGTCTTGGATCTCCAGCAGGGTCCTGCTACCTTCGCTGGTCATGCCCGTCATCGTCGTGGTTGTGGTGGTCGATGAAGGTCGCGGGGCGACTGCTGCTGCTGCCATGTCCGCAATTAACAAGTAAGCTCACAAATGGTGGTAGGGTGCAAAGCGGCGGTGTTCTCCCTGACTGCCTCCATGGACCTCGAGGCTTGGAGACGTGCTGCAACGCATCTCGGTCGGCTCCCTCGCAGGCGTGAGGTGTCGGCTCCATTCTGCCTTCTCGCCTGCGGGGTCGGTCCATGTGGCGCCCGTACTTGCCCACACCACGCTTTTCCCGCGGCTTGAATTTTCGGCGCGGATACTGTCGAACCCTGTCAACGTTTGGTGGGTTCGGATCAAGTGGGGGCCTGCAATTGCACTGCCGGACCGAGCGTCGCACTTTCGCAGCGAACCCCACTCCACCCCACGGTGCCATGCGATACTACCGCCGCCCTTTGGCTTGATCAAGGCTGTCGGCCCCGGAGGCTGGTTGTTGCGCCTTCTTAAGCTTGTCAGTGGCTCCAGAGGCTTGCACACAACCACCACGTCCACCCTTTGATCTAGCGTCTCCAGAGCATTTGTGCAACACGAAACCTAACGACCAACATGTCACAGGCTGGTGCACGAATCTTGGCGCACAAGGCTGCGCATCTGCCTTGTGCAGTCACTCCGGGCGCCAATGCCATCAAGACCACTCGCGAGGTGCTCGGACTCATCCAAGACAAGAACGTCGACATTGTCATCCCTCGTCTCGAGGGCAAGAACGATGTCTGTCGTTGCGACGTCTACCGTCCCAAGGACACCGAGGACGGCAAGACGTATCCGGTTCTCATCACCGCCGGCCCTTACGGCAAAGACATTGCCTACTCGGAGTTCTACCCAGAATCTTTTGCCCAGCTTCCAGACGAACAGAAGTCCGAACTCTCAGCTTGGGAGGTCCCCGAGCCCACCTTCTGGACGCGTCACGGCTTCATCGTCGTTCGTGTCGATGAGCAAGGCACCGGCCAGTCGCCCGGCTTCCTCGACACGATGTCGGACCAGACGGCCAACAACTTCTTCCACTGCATCGAGTGGGCGGCTTCGCAGTCCTGGTCCTCTGGCAAGGTCGGCCTGCTAGGCATCTCCTACTATGCTGGAAGCCAGTGGCGCGTGGCGGCACGCAAGCCCAAGGGCCTCGCCGCCATGATCCCCTGGGAAGGCATGTCGGACTACTACCGCGACCGTGTTCGCAAGGGCGGTATCTATGGCGACGGCTTCGTCACCATGTGGCAAAACTACCAGATCAACTCGAACCAGTACGGTCGAGCAGCTGCCCCGCCACCCAAGAAGACCTGGGGTCCGGGACGCAACGCCAAAGTCCCAAGCATCGAAGGCGTTCTCACTCCTGAGCAGCTCAGGGAGAACCGCACCGATCAGACTGTCGACAACGCCGAGAACTTCTTCCTAGACCAGGACTACTACGCCTCGCGCGAATTTGACCTTGCCGACATTGAGACGCCCCTGCTCAGCGTCGGTAACTGGGGCGGCATTGCGCTTCATCTCCGTGGAAATGTGGCAGGCTACCTCGGTGCTGGCTCCAAAATGAAGTGGCTCTGGCTCATCACCGGTAGACACGACCTCCCCTTCTACCTTCCCGAGCGCGTGGCCCTGCAGCTCTCTTTCCTGAACGCCTTCCTGCGCGGCCAAGACGACCGAGGCTGGCTCAAGGGTCCCAACGCGGATGGCGGCGTACCTGCTGTCAGCTACGTCGTTCGCAAGGGCTCGCCCAAGTTCAACACGATCGAAGGTGACCGTTCCTTCCCAGAGAAGATCGCCAACAGCTGGCCTCTTCCCAACACTATCTACACACCCTTCTTCCTATCGGCGGATCATCAACTAAAGAAGGACCGTCAGGCTGCCGCTGTTGCCACCAACGGTGTCACGAGCATCGATGGCCACCAGCCCAGCTCGCCCGAGCAGGTAGCTTACCGCGGCTTCGACGGAGAGAGCGTCAAGTTCGAGCACAAGGTCGAAGGGTCCGAGATCGAGATCACTGGTCATCCGCACCTGCGTCTGCTCATGAGCGTCGCTGCCGATCCTAACACCGGCTCGGTCCCCTCGGAAATTGACATATTTGCAACTCTTCGCCATCTCGACGCCGCGGGTAGCGAGATCTTCTACACTGGCACGGCAGGCGATCCATGCCCCATCGTCAAGGGCTGGCTGCGTGCTTCAGTGCGCAAGGTGGACCAGGCCAAGAGCACGGACCTTGTGCCCCACCGTAACTACCTCAGCTCCGAGATTGCTCCGCTCAAGCTCGATACGGTTTACGCGCTCGATGTCGAACTGTGGCCCACGAATGTCGTCATTCCAGCCGGTCATACCCTGCAACTTGAGGTTGGACCTCAGGATCAGCAAGGCGGAGGCGTGTTTACCCACACTCATCCTCAAGACAGAGTTCAAGCTAAGCTCGCTGGTATCAACTCGATCCACACTGGAACCGTCGATGCCGGAAAGGTCGACACGATCGGCATCAGCGCAAAGACACCCGCGCTCGGCAACGATGTCCTTGCAAGCTGCCTTGTTCTTCCCGTCATTCAGTCCTAGCTGCTGCGAAGAGAAAGTTTTGTTCTATCCGCATGCGAATATACAGTAGCCGTGTGTTTTTTCCTCGAATAGAACTCGTGTATGTCTGAGTCTGTGAAGTCAGTACATGGATTAAAAGGGAGACGGTAGCAGGCTCAGCATTTCCAGAGCTTTTGTGGCCCCTCACACGAAGTACAGGCCCATCACCAACGGCAAGTTCGCCAAATGCTAAGACTGCCGAATCTCTGAGATCGACCAACACCAAGTCTTCATCTCAACTGGCACATCGCGACCCGAATTCTACTTCTTTTCTCGTCCAATACTTCCAGTTGCTATTCCAAATGCAATGTACTGATGGCTCGTGAGTTAAGTGTGGGAGGTTGTTTACACAGCAGCGTCGCTTGAAGCGATGATGCTGTAGAGCAGCATATACGCTCAAGCACTGACTCGAGCAGGGACTGGAGCCTCGGTGACGCTGGCAGGCTTGGGCACGTCCGCAGGTGGGCCGCCAGGAGGCTTACCAACGCGGCCCTCCTTCATGCGCTGCTCCCACTCCTCGGCGCCCTGGTAGTCGTACAGGAAGAAGGCGAATTCGGTGGGGTTCTTGCCGAGCAGCTCCTCCTTGGAGCCGGGTCGAGGTCCGAGAGCCTGTAGCCTGGATCTCTCCTGCGAGATGCTGGCCCTAAAGTGTCTGAGCTTCTGGAAGCGCTTCAGCGCTTCTTCGACATGGCCGAGTTCGGGAAGACCCGACGAGGTGCGGAGAACGTAGGCCAGAGCCTCAGCGTCTTCAATGGATTGGGAGCCTCCCTGACCGAGATGAGGCAGCATGGGATGGGCAGCGTCACCGATGATCAAAGCTCGATGGCGGTGCCAGAGCTCGAGGGGATCCTGGTCGCGAAGCTGGTACAGCGCGCACTCGGTCGCCTGCGAGAGGATCATCTTGGCGGTCGGGCAGAATTCAGCAAAGGAGGCGTTGAGGTCCTTGAGCGAGCCGGCGGCACTCCACGACTCGGTGGACTCCTCGAAGAGGCCCTCGTCTGGCACAATGGCGATGATGTTGAGCAGATCCTCTCCGTTGTACTTGCAGGTGTAGCACACAAGTCGCCTGTCCTCTGCGACAAACATGGCGAGGCAAGGCGCCGACATGATCCTATCGATTGTCTCATCCTGAAGGGCCTTGAGACGGTCAAAGGGGATCAGGAGTCTGTACGCCGAGTGACCACTGGGCTTGGCACGAGCTGGACGGCCGAGGACGTATTGCTGCAGAGTACTCTTGATACCATCCCCGCCGACAATCAGATCGCCCTCGAAGGTGGTTCCATCTGCCAGCGTGATTCGACCAGCCTCGCCGTCGACAGCGACGACCTTGCTGCTGAGGTGCATCACAGCAGGCTTGCCAGGAAGCGAGGCATCGTCCGACGTGGCGAGGTGAAGCAGCTCCCTGTGCAGCGACACGCGGTGGTTGAGGAGCCAGGGAGAACCGAAGTGCTCAAGAACCTTGACCTCCTTGTGCAGCACGAGCTTGCCAGCGACATTGTGCTCGTAGACATGGCGACAATTGGGAGACTCGATGCGATCCAGATCCATCCCCCACTTGAGGAGGATCTTGCTAGCGTTCGGTCCGGTGCTAGATTGTCACAATCCAAAGTAGCGGTGGAGTTAGTATGATGAAGGTGGCGCAGACGCTGATCAAAGCCGCGAAGCAGAGGGAAAGACCGATGGTACTTACTGGATCGCAGCGCCGACTTCAGTCTTGAAGCTCGACTGTTCGAAGATGTGCACCTCGTGATGCTCACGCAGCGCTCGTCCCACCGCGAGGCCGGCGATACCTGCGCCTACGACAAGCACACGCAGTCTCTTGACTTGGCTGTCGGTCGTCATTGCGTTTCCTAGAGCTCGGTTTGATGTAAGGGAAGGTCAAAGATGATGTGATTGCAGGGTCAGCTCCAGCCATGGAAGGCGCCCGGTTCAAATAGCCGGCCCATCTCGGGCAGCGTGGTGGAGCAGTGCTTGAGCTGGCGGCTGTCAGCGGTCCGTTTCCGCAAGCTCCACCGCGACCTGACCCAGGGCGTGTGGGGGTGGCTCAAAAATATGCAGCAGCAGAGGACCGCGAGCATGACACGGTGCGCGCGCCGACACGGAAAATGCACAATTGGACGCCTTCGGCCCAGATGGGGGATGTGCGGGATGGAATTCCGCAGAGCGGGGCAGAAACAGCCCTCTGCTTGATGAAACCGTTCTGACATGAATGAATGCTTGCCGTTCCGAGCCCATGGGCCGAAAGAGCCTCTCACCGTCTGCCTGAAGCTCAAAATTGCAGCTCGGCACCCACTAACAGATGTGGGAGGAAAGAGCGGAAGGCCATACGGCTGTCGGACACACAATCACTCGAATCATTGAATCCGGGCACAAGCGATGAATACACGTTCATGAGCTTCCGAATCTGAAGCTGTCAATAAGATTGGACTGAACTGAAGCGTGATAGCACCAATGAGCATGACCGAAATGGTGAAGGCGGGCTACTGTTTACTGGCTCGAGTGATCGCGCATGTAGTCGCGGATGCGAAGGAAAGACTGCTTGAAGTGGCGGTCGAGTCCGTGGCTGGTGTAGTTGACGTACTGGAGACCAAAGCGAAGGTCGAGGCCCGAGTTCCACTCGAGGTTGTCCAGCAGACTCCAGAAGAAGACACCGCCGAGATTGAGGCCATCTTCGTGAATGGCGAGCAGGTACTCTTGCAGCTGGTCAATCACGTAGCGCGTCCTGGCCGAGTCCAGTGCGAACTGAGAGACGTTGATTTTTTCACTCTCGAAAGGTTCAGCGAACCCGACCTCGCTGAGATAGATCACCTTGTCGCCACTCCAACGGTCGCGGATCTGGCGGAGGAACTGACGCACGAGACCCGCCGAGTTGTACAACCAGCTCGAGCGAGGGTCGGCGAGCTCGCCGATCGGCCAGACCGCGTCGCCCGTGGCGTCTGAGCTGATCGTCTGGAAGTCACTCTCAATCGAAGAGGTGCATCCGGGCCAGTCAGGGTGGGTGATATTGCGCTCGCACGCAGCCAGTCCACCGGGCGCCCGGGTGGCTCGAGCCACTCGAACCGAATAGAGGTCAATAGCGTAGTAGTCGGCTGCTCCCTTGATGATGGCCTTGTCCGACTCGTTGAGGCGAGGCAAGACGTCAGCCGGCGTCGTGTCGAGCAGAATCTGGGGCCAGTCACCCGTGCTGTAGACAGGGTCGCTCCACAGGCCCAGCAAAACGGCATCGTGTCTCTCGGCAGCGCGGATGTCCTCTTGGTTGCCGGTGCGGTGAGGCAGGGCGATGGTGTTGTCGTTCTTGAATCCCATCTCACCCTTGGGCAGCGTGCCGTTGGCAATGAGCTTGTGGTAGAGCTTGTGCACCTTTCCGTTGGCAAGCAAGAGGTTCTTTGCGCAGTAGAACATGCTCTGCTGGCCGGTCAGATCGCCGTTGTACGTCACGTTGTACGGCAGACCGGATTGGTACTCGCCACAGATCTGATTGGGCTCGTTGAAGGTGACCCAGGTCTTGACACGATCGCCGTATCGTCTGAGGACGGTGTCTGCATAGTTGGTAAAGTCATCGACGATGCGTTCGTTGCGGAAGCTTCCGTACTCGAACTCGAGTGCCAGCGGCGTGTCCCAGTGATGCAAGGTCGCCACGGGATCGAGACCCTGGGCAATGGCCTCGTTGATGACGTCGTCGTAGTGCTGCAGACCTGCTTCGTTGACCGGACCGCTTCCGAAGGGGAAGATGCGCGACCACGAGATGGAGAACGAGTAGATCTTGCCGCCCATCTTCTTAAGTCCGGCGAGGTCCTCCTTGTACTGGTAGTAGTGATTGTCTGTCACGTCGCCGGTCTGGTTGTTTGCGATGCATCCGTCGAAGTAGTGGCCGCACAGATCCCAGTTGCTGGGTGCCTTGCCGTCCGCTTTGGCGGCGCCTTCGACCTGGAATGCGGCGGTTGCGACACCCCATCGGAAGGAGTCAGGGAACTTGAGCCCACCAGCCTTGTTGCAAGCGGCCCCCTGAGGAGGCCAGTCGTAGGCATCAGACAAACCCAACACCACCGACCTTTGAGCCGGGTCAGGTGGCACGTAGATGGAGTCCTGGCTGGGGCGTGGCAGGACCTCGGTGATGTTGGCCTCCACCACGGGCTTCTTGTCTTCGAGCAGAGCCCACAGGCTGTCGAGATACTCTTGGGTGTGGTTCACAGCGCGGTAGGCGGCAAAGGGATCTGAAGCGTTCATGGACGGATCGGACGTGGCGCGAGACTCGAGCGAGCCGCTGCCATTGTACGGGTCGACGGCGACAGGGGTGGCTGTGGCACCTGGAAGAGCGAGCAGCGCAGCTGCATGGGTGAGTGCAAGGAGCACAGTGGACCAACCTTTGGCTTGAATCATGCTGGCAGTTCTGAACGAGCGAAGCGAAGCGTTGTAGGGTCAAAGCAGGCGAAGGCTTTCTAGCCCTCCTATATATACTGCACGTACGGACTTGGGACGTTGGGATCCGAGTCTAGACTCGTGTGCGGTTGATCGTCATCGTTGGGTGGCCCGCACTCCTTCGTGCCTTTTTTGCTCACGATGCGTCGGCTCGGTCTCCGACCCCCGATGCTGCAGAGGTTCGCCACTGCAATGCTTGCTCTCGCACCCAGGCGAGGGTGGAGCATGCGCGAGAGGTGGTCCCTGACTTCTCTCTTTCTCTTCCTCGACCTCAAGCCGGCGCACCGACAGTGTTTAATACTTGGTCCGGCCTTGCTCGGTCTGCAGGTTCTCGCTAAGGCAGCTTGACGAGTATGCATGCTGTGCAACTTGCACACCGGCGATTTCGCCCGGCGGCATGTGTAGGAATATCCCTGCGGCTGCTTCGAGCGCATCGGCACTAAACGAGGACCGGCGACTTGCGTGCAGACGGACTGGCTGCTTCCGTGGATTGGGGCGAGCAAAGCAGAGCCGAGCTGGCCAAAGGAAGCGCCGATGAAAGACTAGCAAGGCGGTTGGCTGTGCCACCGTAACAAAGGCAAGCATGCGGTTACCGCGGACCGCACCTTCTCGCCAATGCATCGCTTCGAAGCGAGGCGTGGGGGCCCACACCGAGTGCGGAGACGATCGCCGATAACGCGCTCGTGGCCATGGCTAATATCGGCAGGTGTCAGATTCGGCGAGCATGCTCTTTTCTGCTTTCGTTTTAAGGCTGATTTTCATCGTTGTTTCGCAGGCGATTTGTTCTCCCGTCAAAGCTGGGGCCGAACCGAGCTAGTCGGGAGCTGCTCTCGGACCCTTTCTGCCTGTCATGGCTCACGGCTCGGTGGCAGCACGATGAAACCCCCACCTGGCCCGGACTCGGGTCTCCACAAGCTCTCTCTCAGCCCGGTCGACTCCGCTTGCCCCATGCCGGCTGGCTTGTACAACACGCTAGCATCAAGCCAGCGCCTGTACATCCTATATTATCGTGCCAGCCAAGGCGGGCCTTTAGATTCACGGCCAGCGACCGATCCTGCTATTTCTCGAACCAACCAAACAACACCATGACAAGAAGCAACCCGATCGAGAGGCTCGAGTGCGTCATCCCGTACGCTGCCGACCATCCCTTTCCACTCGAGAACCTGCCTTGGACTGTCTTTTCGACATCTGCGGATGAGAAGCCACGATGTGCCGTTCGCATTGCAGATTCGCTTCTGGATCTCGCTCTGCTGAGCGCTCAAGCGCCACACGCCTTTGCCTCCGGTCCGCTCAGCGACCAGAGGGTGCACGGGCTCTTTTCTCAACCGACCCTGAATGCCTACCTTGCCGAACCGCGTCAGGTGCATCGTGACTTCCGATCTTTCCTGCAGCACATGCTCTCTTCCGACTCGCACGTCTTCAACTCCGACTCGCAGGCTGTCCTCCAAGCCGCGCTGGTCCCAGTCGAGCAGGCCAAGCTGCACCTTCCCATCCGCTCAGGTGACTACACGGACTTCTGCGCCTCAAAGTACCACTGCACTGCCACAGGGCGTCTCATGTTCAACGACCCCACCCGTCCTCTGGAGGATCAATGGTTCCAGCTGCCCATCGCCTACCACGGCCGTTCCTCTTCGCTCGTCGTCTCCGGCACCAACTTCCACCGCCCCAACGGCATCTTCCGTACCAGGCCAGGCTCCTCGGACGTCCAGTTCGGTCCGTCCAAACGTATGGACTTTGAGCTGGAGGTGGCGTTTGTAGTCGCTGGTAGCGAGCTAAGCCCACTCGGTCGGCCTGTCAAGCTCGACCAGGCTGAAGATGCCATCTTTGGCATGATGCTCATGAACGACTGGTCGGCGCGTGACATCCAGGCCTACGAGATGAATCCGCTCGGTCCGTTTACAGGCAAGAACTTTGCCACCACCCTCTCGCCATACCTCGTAGAGCTCGCTGCCCTCGAGCCTTTCCGCACGCCATCGCCCACCGCCGAGCATACGCCGTTTGCCTATCTCGACCACCAGGGCAACGGAACCACCTGGGACGTCAGGCTTCAGGCATTCCTCTCGCCTGCACCTCCCCCCACCAGCACGGAGCAGGAACGCGTATGGACAAAGATCACCGACACCTCTCTCAAGCACGTCTACTGGACCGCATCCCAGATGGTGGCTCATCACACCATCACTGGCTGCAATCTCAAGCCAGCTGACACTTTCGCCACGGGTACTTGCTCGGGCCCATTTGACGAGTCGCACAGCGAAGCTTCTCTGATCGAGGCATGCAAGGCAGGCCGTCAGCCTATTCCGCTCAACTCAGCCAAAGGAAGCACCGCAACTGAGACGCGCTGCTTCCTTCTCGACGGCGACGAGGTCAAAATTCTCGGACACGCCTTTGACCCGGAATCCAAACTGCACATCGGTCTCGGCGAGTGCACCGGCCAGATCCTCCCGGCCGTCGAGCTCTAGCATGGTGACAAGACACAGTTCAAAGACAGATACAACATGCATTCCAGATTCGGGCTGCGATCGAAGGCCTCAGGACTATGTGACGCTGGAGAAAGCCGCAAGGAGGCCAAGGTCGTAGCCTGCCTTGAGCGCGCCTGCGACATGAAAGGCCCAGCCCATGTGACCTCTGTCCGCGAACCATCCTGTCAGCGTTGGACCGCCGGACTGTGCGAGAGTCTTGATCGTGTTGACGAGTCCAAGCACTCTTGTTCTTCTGTCAGCCGGGACGAACGCCGAGAGGAAGGCAGAGCGCGGGGCCTGATCCATGGACGCCGTCGCCGCTCTGCCCACCACCAGCGCTGCTGTCCATTTGAGAGTGCTTGGTACAGGCGTGAGCGCGAGAGCGATGCTCGAGGGCAGATGCGTGAGCACCATCGTCACCACCAACCCGAGACGGTTCGCCAGCCGCGCAGAAAAGAGGTTCGAGATCGAAGCTACCATCAGTGCGGCGGAAGTGATGGTGCCGAGCGTAGAGAGGTCGGCATGGAACTTGAGCGCAAGAAACCACGAAGTGAGCGTCTGCGACGCCATCCTGCTGCCCAAAGAGTCGATGGCGAACAACAGGCACAGATCACCTAGCCTGCTCCATCCGAAAGCGTCTTCTTGCGATGCGTCTATCGTGCGGGCCGCTTGGCTTGTCTCGCCCGTATCGTTGACCGCCTCGTTTGACGCTGTTTCGAGAAGTGGTGCGCGCTCGGCTTCGGTCGAATCTTGTGCGCGAGTTTGGGTCCCATGCCCTCCAGACCGGCTCTGCATCGGAGCTTCACATTCGCTGCTTAGAAGCAGAGAAAGTAGCAACTTGACCAGCCCAAGCGCAGCATACACCACAAAGACACCTCGATAGTATGCCATCAGCTCATGTTGGTCCCTATCGGCACCCGATCGATTGCTGATCCAGCCCGTGAGCCAGGTGGCCAGACTCGCCGCTACCGAGCCCATCACGACGTACCAACCGAACAGCGTCGGTCTGTGCTGCTTCGGCACCATCTGGGCCAGGATGCTCTCCTCCACCGCTCTGAACGGTCCGATCTCGCTTCCTGCCGGACTGATGACGCCAAAGACCGCCGCGATGAGCAGCACGCGTGTGTCGGTTGTCGTGGCGAATACAATCCCCGCTAGGAGCATCGAGGCTGCGCCAAGACGCAGTGTGCTGCGTCTCCCTAGCACCGACTCGGCTACGAAAGTGAGTGCCAATGACAGGATGAAGTCTCCGAATAGAGTCAGTGTGAGGAAGCGTCCGACCTCGACAGGCGAATGCGTGAGGCTGGAAAGGTAGAGTGCAAGGATGAGCGACGAGGAGCCGAACGCTAGCATCCGGACAGACCTCGCTGCCAGCACCAGCCACACGTCGAGGCTCCAGCGAGCATCGTCATCGCGAGCGAGCGTCGCCCCGTCGTCCATGTCTGAACGCTGAACGACAGTACAGGTGGGTGTAGGGCGATGCCGTGGTGGTCTAGAGCTCACGTTGACATCTGCGGTTGCAGATCCTACTCCTCAACCGCCGGAGTTCGAGTCACATCCGAATTCCGAGCTGGCCACGTGCCGCCGGTGCCCGAACACTCTCTCTCATTCATACGAGTGCAGCAAAAGGTCGTGAAGGGCGCCACAAGGGACAAGTTCGCAGTACGAGATCATAACGTGTACAACGACGACGCGATCAGGGAAGCTATCGAAACACAAAAATCGAAAGCTTGGGAGGATGCATCGTCGGCGGCTACTGCAAGCCCGTCGGGCCAGTGGAATCAATGGCGTCGCGGCACACCGCAACCTCGTGCTGGTACATGGCGCAGACCGGCCAGACCTGCGAGTATTGAGCCAGAGTCGACTCTGCAAATCCAATGTTGCTGATGGCCGCACGCAGCTTCCACACCATCGCGCTGCGCTGCCTTTCGCCAGCATTGCCGCCGCCATTAGACAGGGTGCTGGCTTCTGGCGAGCCGTACTGCCACGAGGGGGCGGAGAGCGCAGAGGTATCAGCAGCAACGACTGAGCCATGACCTCGGTTTTCGGATCCGGTCACATCGTGCTCGCCGTACAGCCGGATCTCATCGCCATAGGTGGGCAAGTTGGACTCCTCGGGCCCGCTGGCTGCGACGGCGACCACGTAGCCGAAAGCAGCGACCATGTTGCAACAGCCGAGGAAGGGCCAATGCGCAGGAAGCCCGCGAGGAACGTGTGCCTGGCTGTCAGAGGCGCCCCTTCCGGGGTCACTCCACGGAGCAGGCACTGCCATGCGCTGATCCAGGCGCACAAGCCGCATGATGGCATCTGCGGACGATACGATGCGCGTGACGCTCGTCGACAGCATCGATTGCCGCACCTCTGCGTTGCCTCGATCTGTGCTTCGAGGGCCGGCTCGTGAAAGCACACCAGCTGGGCTGTCGTCGAACCTCTTGAAGGAACACGACACAAAGTCCATCGTCAGGTCGGGGAACCATGCGAGCCGATGCAGATGGATCCGGCTGGCGTGCAGCATCGTCATCGCAGTGAAGAGCAGCTCGATGCGCGTCTCGAGTGCCCATCGCGTGCAAGAGACGTCCGCCCTGGCATCACTTGTTGGCATGCGGGGGCGTGCATCGACTTGGTGGCTGCTTGGTTCGGTCTGGGTGCTTGCATCCGCCCAATGTCTCTGGGCAACGATGAGAATGTTGCTGAGCATCGTGTCGATGGCCCGGATGCGCTCGTGGTCGGGATCATCCGGATCTTCCGGCTGCCGAACACACTCGTGGATCAGCGCACAGGTGCGGATCCTGATGTCGTACGCTTGCGACAGAGACTGTCTGCTCTGACCCTCGCCGCCAGGCGGTGACCGTCGGAGATCTGCGAATCCAGGGTCGAACGGTGTGTGTACGGCGACCTCGAGATGATCACTGTCGAGACAGCGCCGGATCGCTCCGCTTGTCGTCACGTTGAGCATCAAGTCGCAGAGATAGAGTTCCCACCAGAGCCGCCGCAGCGACTCTTTACGGACTGCGGACAGTGGTGCCGCGCGACTGTGGAAGGCTCCTTGTTCGCGCGGCCCGTCGGACATGCCAGCAGAATCTGGTGCGTCCACTCGATTCAGACCCATCCTGCGAGCGAGATCCACAGCAGCACGCATGTCCGATTCGGCTTGAGCCAGTCGATTGTTCCCGTAGCTATCGTATGCCAGGAGGAGCAACCCCTGCAGCGTCGCTAGAGCTTCGACGCTGTCGAGCGGGATGTCGCTCTTGAGGCTCATGCCTTCGAGGCAGGTTGCCAGCAGCGTTCGAGCTTGACTCCGAAGGTCGTCGAGTACAGCGCTGGATTCAGACTGGGCTGTAAGACGATCGATGGACGCGACGCTCAAGCCGAGTACGGCTATGATGCGGCCGAGTAGGCTTCTTGCAACGTTCTGAGCTGGAAGAGCATCGAGGACGCAGGTGCGGAACTCGGAGGCTTCCCCAAGCACGGGGACCGTCTTTGCAAAGCCGGAGAAGTAGAGGTGTGCGCCTATTTCGAGGATGGCAGTGGTATCGGCGTCATTGGAGAGAGCGCTGCGGTCGTGACGTGCGAGGTAGCGTTGAAGAGCAGCTCTGATGTGGTCGGCTTGCAACGAGCTGGACGGGGTCACGCTCTTGGTCTCGGTGGTCGAGGGCGAAGTGGCTCGAGGCACAGCATTCAGGCGAGCCCGCAGAGCCGAGAACTGCGAGCGTGCTTGCTGGGCATTGCTCGGAGAGGCGTAGTCATTGGCTGTAGAAAGAAGCGCATCGCGGTCGTTGCCGGCCGAAGGGCTGAACGAGGTCTGGGGGCATGTTGGGGCGTGGATCTGATCGAGGCTGGTGATGACAAGAGACGAGACCGGATTGTAGGGCGATCTTTCAAGGGCATTGGGTGTGATCTGGTCGTGTAGAGCGATCTGTGGGCCCAGCTGGTCAAGATCAAGGTCGAGGTCGAGGTCGAGGTCAAGGTCATGGTCGAGGTCGAGCTGGATGGCGGCCCGGCTGGAGTCGTGTTGAGAGTGGTTGAGCAGAGCGATGAGATCCATTCCAGTATATCCGAGCAAGGAGCTGGAAGGGGCCGTGGTCAATCCGAAAGGATTCGCTGGGTCTGCAGTGTCGGCCACGGAAAGCCGAGCAGCAGAACCGTTGTCGATCTGGCCGAACTGCCGGAGGTGGCCGTCAGATGCAGTCGATCCAGGATCTGTGACCACAGGCCCAGTGGGCCCAAGATAAGACGCAGCATCATCAGCATCCGCATGTCTAGCGCGCTTGCGAGGTCGCCCCGTGCGATGAGAAGGCTGCCAGAGGCACTCGAGGCGAAGTCGAGCGCAACGCGTGCAGGCATGTTCGGACACGAGCTGGACATCGGCGCCCGCTGGAGGAGGCATCTTGGTCTCGAGATGAGCCGACAGCTCGGCAATGATGGGCGGCGGCGCCCCGTCGCACTTGTTCTTGGCAGTGCGGCAAGGCAGGCAAGCCAGCGCCGAGCGTTTCTGCAAAGGCTGCAAGCCGCCCGAGGCGGACGGGTCGAGCTGCAAAGACATGACGAACAAGAGCGGCGGCGAAAACAGTAATGGCAGTGGTGGCGGCGATGGCGGTGACGAACGTGAAGCTCCGTCGAGAACCAAAGCCCGGACTCTCCCGCCCATCCGCATCCCGTGGTCCAAGCTCAATGTCCGCTCGTCCAATTTTCGAACACCGCGACGCAACTCACACACGAATTGTTGGTCGCAAAATGCACCGGAAAATCATGCCGGATTTAGGATCTTGAAAGATGAAACTT